GCACCAATACTCTCATCCCCTAAAAAGGAGGCCCGCCCCTAAGGGCTTCCTTGGTGGCTCAGTGGTAAAGAATCCACCTGCTAGTGCAGGAGACACGGGTTTGCTCCCTGGTCTGGGAAGACCCCACATGCCGTGGAGCAACTAAGCCGGGGCCGCAGCTGCTGAGTTTGTGCCCTAGAGCCCGTGCTCAGCAAGAGAGGCCACGATGAGAGTCGGAGCAGGTCAACCAGAGCCCCCCACCCACCATCGGAGGAGAGCCCCGTGCTCAGCAAGAGAGAACCAGCCAAAAATAAAAAGTAAATAAGATCATAAAAATAAATAAATAAAAGCCACAACCATGATACAAACTGAAAAAAGAATCTGGTTGTATTTTAGTCTACCAGACAGTAAATTGATTTTTTAAAAAGGTGGGGGGAGCCCCTTTATTTCCCAGACACCCATCAATATTTGGTCCTAAGGCTGCCCTTCTCCCCGTTTCTGTCAGCCGCTGACCCCACATCTTAGCTGGAGATTATTTTCAAGCTCTGTCAGAGCCCAGAACTCTTAAATGAAAAAAAAAACACGCGCTGGCCCAGCTCTGACCCTGTGTCAGTGGGTGTCAAGAGCCCTGTTGCAACAGGCAGAGCCCAAAGTAAGGCGCAGGGTCTCTGAACCCAGAAGCCAGACCTTCCCCCAAAAAACCACAGGCCCCAACCTCAGAGATTTGCAACTTTTCTTTATAACATCCTGTTAGTTTACTTCAAGCTCCTCAAACAATTAACATCCGCTTTTAACACAAAGATCCCTTAGGCTCCACACTGAGCCTCCAGCCCCGCGTGCTCCTGACCAGCATGACCCCCATCCCCTCCCGCAGGTAGCTGCGTGCACCCCTCAGGAGCCAAGCAACACACTGTCCTGGGCACCTTCAGTCCTCACCAACGCCCTCTCCCAAGTTCCTCTAGTTCCAATCACACAGCTTAGCCCAGACCAGCAAAGCCCAGAGAATATTTTACCAGTTCAAAGACGTTCCTCTCCACTGTTCACTGCAGTAGCCATTAACCACATCTAGCTGCTGACACTTGACATGTGGCTAGCAGCTGGCTTTTAAATTTAACTTAGCTTAATTTAATTCATCAATTTTAACTAATTTTAATTTAAACAGCTCTGCATGGGCACTGGCTACCATAGTGGACAGTACTGCCTTAAGATTACATTTGTTAACTGCATAATTTCACCTCCAAAAAAGTTTCTGGACCTCCAAACTTTAAGGCCACTTGCAATCCTCCATACAACACAAAGCATATGGGAGGATGCTCAGAGAACTGTTAACTACCTGTAATGACAGTGGAGATAAAAGAGGCTGGCCAGTCAGTGGACCTTGCATCACCCTGTGATTCCATGCAGCAAACCCCCACCTGGAACACTGCCCCTCACTCAGCTACGCTAACTCTGCTTGCTCCTCGACAGGCACACAGAAGAGGACGCTGCCTGCCGTGCGGGGATGAGGCGGCCCCGCTTTCTCTCTACCAGTGTCCAGACCAACCCTGAGAGGTTCTGATCCGCGGCCCTTGGTATCAGCAGACACCAAGGAAGCCTCCTGGCAGCAACACGAGTCACCTGGGGAGGCAGGACTGGAGAAAGGGAAGGAGAGGAGCAGGGCTTTGCTTCCTCTAATTCATACAATGGAAAGACAAACAGCGATAAGTGACGACAACATTCTATACTCTGTAAAGCAGTAACATGCTTCGCCGAATCAGTCACACAGCAGAGGGGGACAGCGGGTGCTGGCTTTAATTAAATTTGTTCAGCTAATACCTAGGAGTCACCATGACACCATGAAGCAGGAAGCAGCAGGGAACAGGACCAATTAATGCACGAGTGGGTTGAGACTAGGTGTCCCTACCAAAGAAACAGTGAACAGAACTCTCATGTTCTTACACACAAAAAAAACAGTAACAGTAAATAAGATTTCTAGCAAACACTTGCAAAAAGTGGAGGGGGTGGTATAAAAAAAAAAAAACTTGTTACTCCAGATTTAAAACTTACGGAGCTGCTGAGTTGGTTTATAAGCTGCCCCTCCAACTCTGGGGATCACTGCTGGGAGGTGATAAACCCCCCCCCAGCAACCCCTGACCCAACAGTCAAGGAGGGGCCCGCAGTGGGAGTAGTTCCGGGGGCTTGAGGGGCTCTGGAGCAGCAACCAGGACCAAGCCCGCCGATGTCACTGCAGTTACCAAGTGGGAAGAGGTCAGACATCCCGGGTTCTGATCCTGATTCAGCCAAGGGCATGGCTGTCTCACCTCAAGAAAGCCTTTGCTCTGGGCCTTGGCTTTCTCATCTGCAAAATGAGAGAGATAGATGAGATGACCTCTACCGTCCTTCCAACTCAGAGTGAAGTATCAGTGTGACTCAGGCCTTAGCAAAAGCAGCCAGGAGAGACCATGAGCCACGGTCATCACACTGACCAAGAAGCATTTAAATGCTGCATCTCTCAGGAAGATGGAGAGAAACAGCAGGGTGGGTTGAGGCTATTTTTAAAAGCACTGATTACATTTAATAGGACTAAGAGGTCACCAGACCACAGACAGAGGAGCAGGCCATCACGGCAGCTGCCACCTCTCATCAAGTCGCAGGGCTGTGAGATAGCAGTGACTAGAACCCCGTCAGAGGCCCTGCAGCTCTCTGCCCTAAACCCCAGGAACGGCCTCACGCTCTACATGGAGCAGAGGCCTCCTCCCTTTCTCTTCAGGCACCTTTCCGATGAGGCAATCCCCACATCTTCCTCCCTTGCTTCATAATCAAAACACTCCTGGTTTTGAAAATCATTTCACTACTCAGCACCTACGGTTAGGTTAGTCAAGATTCAAGATCTGGAAATCTCTTTGGTATGTCTCTGGAACAGCTGTTTGAGGCAGGCGTCCCCCACAGCTGTAATTACGTCTTACCCAATATTGGACATGGAGGCACTGTTGATACCGCTGTCAGTCTCTGAATGCCTCATCCCTTCTTTCTTCCTCTATTATTAAGTTTTTATTCAAAGATGTGTGGGAAATCTACAATTTAACAGTTGAGTCAACTTGTGAGATCTGGGAGCAGGTTGCCTGTCAAAACACACTCTGACTTCAATCATCACCTGCTTCTAACCTGAGAAGGGCAAACTAGGAGTGTTACTTAAAATACTGCCGGATCTTCCCTTTCAAAATTATTTAAAGGGGAAAAAAATCCAAATCTCTCTCCTATTAATTACAATAGAAATCTGAATTGCCACCCAAAAACATTTTAGGGGGTAGTTTTGAGTGTCTATCAAATAGAGTAAGGAGCAGAAATTGAGAGCTTTTGTTCTGAGTCTTTATACCATATTCCAACTATCCAAGAAAATGAGCAGCCAGTGTCCCCAAACTGCTGGTGGGTGAAGGCAGATGGCGTCTCAGAGGGGACAGAAAACTCTCCTGGAAAGAACATCTGTCACTTCCTCAACGGTACAGGTTAACTGTGGTCCACCAGTGTTCACTCAACTCCACTCCCCAAGGTCAGAGCAACGGTCAAACCACCACTCTCCCTCCCTTCCCCAGTTTTCAGTATGGAAAGAACAGTCTAAGGCACAAATATTAAAGAGTTCAGGATACTGATGCATTCCTTCTCCAAAAGTCCAAAGCAATAGCTTGTAGTAAAAAACCAAAGAAATCTGACAGTGTTGAGGCTAGCTGAAGTTCTCCTGGGAATGGAAGAATGAAAGCTGCAAGAAATCAGTTTTAGAGGTCTTAAAATCTATAAATCAAACATGCATGCCTTCTACAACCTCAAGTACCAGAGTTTTATTATATCTAATTATATATTCCAACAGTCCCACCCATGACACATATCTGAGTTGTGCTTTAATAGCTGAAACACAGCTAACCATAGGGGTTGAGGAGGAAGAGAAAATGTAACACAGGAAGTATTTTTCTCCTCCTCCAATCATTACAGACACCTCAAGGGAAACAGGCATTATGTGTCACCTTTAGAGATGTGGTTTGATCTGAAACCCCTCTTAGGGGAAAACCTTTTCAGTGACCCTAGACACTTGCTCACACTGCACTAGGGACTCATCAGACCTCCAAGTTCATTATTTTTAACTTCGAAGTAGATATTCCCACTGAAATCCCTCTTCTCCCCACAGCAGGCTCCTTAAAAAAAAAAAAACAATAAAAAGAGGTTGGCTTTTCCCAACTCCAGGAAAACGCTCCCTCCTACTGTCCACCAATCGTCCAAGTCCAAGACTCAAGTGGCCATCTCCGATTTGTGGATTCAGCCCGGATCCACGCCGTGGTTTTCCAGATCCTGTTTACAATGATCAATGGAACTATGGAAACAACAGACACCGCGCTGGAGCCTGCTGGCCTCCCATCTGGAGCTTCGCGGGCACCGAAGGTAGGAGGGGGCCAACTCCCGATCAAAACAATCCCTGCCCCCGCGCCCGGAATCTCCAGCCTTGCACCTCCTCAGCCGGCGCGCGCCCCGAGGCGGCACAGCCGCTCTCACGAGGCCCAGGGAAGTGAAATCACACATTCCGGCTCCCAAATAAGGAGCGAGGCTAAATAAACCTCTCGAGATCCGACTTCTCCAAACCAACCCACCAACCAGCTCAATGAGTAATGGGCCTTTTGTGCCCGCGGAAAGAAGAGAGGCGGGAGGAGAGGACCGGGAACCACAAGCCCCCCGAAAACCGCTTCCTGAGACGGAGAGACGAGCCCAAGTGGTCCCAGAAGCCAACCGGGGCGACTTGGATGGAGGGCGCTCAAACCCCAAACGCCCGAGTCCTCACGAGTCCCCGTGAGTCCCTGCAGGTGACCGGAAACCCGGCCCGCTCGGCCGCGACCCTCCCGCGGCGCCCGCAGCCCCCGCCGCCCGCGGGGCACACGCGGGACGAGCGGGGCGGGGAGGGCGGCCCGGCCGCGGCCACTGCTCAGCCGCCCGGACGCGGGTCCGGGGAGCGCGCCGGCGCCGCCCTGGGAGCCCCCCACCCGCCCCGCGCCACCTACTTTCAGGGCGAATTTCTCCTGCGTCCTCTTGCTGAAGATCTGCAGAACTTTGCCGTTGATGCCCAGCCCCAGGACCTGCGTGGTGACCTTGTAGTCGTCGATGATTGCATTCTTCTTGATCTGCAGGCTCGACCTGACGTGGAACTGGGGGAACTGCGGCGGCGGCGGCTGCGCCGGGGCGGGGGGCGGTGGCGGGGCTGGCCTTAAAGGGGAGGGCGGCGGCGTCCCGAGAGCCGAGGGCCGCCGGGAGCTGGGAACCGGGCGTGAGGACCGTGCGTCCATTAGTGAGGACCGCCGCCCCGAGAAACCCTCAGTTCAGTTCAGTCGCGCAGTTGTGTCCGACTCTTTGCGACCCCACGGAACGCAGCACGCCAAGCCTCCCTGTCCATCACCAACTCCCGGAGTTTACTCAAACTCATGTCCATCGAGTCGGGGATGCCATCCAACCATCTCCATCCAAAACTCTAGTTGTCCATTAGTGAGGGCCGCGCAAAGGGAAACAGGGGGTGCATGAAAGTGCATTATCAGAAAATCCACCTTCTCCAATTGTCTACCTCAAGACAGCAGCCGCTGCGGGTGTCTTTTCAAGGCGAGGCATGACTCGTGAGTATGAGCCAGGGTGAGACCGCCGGGGATGAGCTGGAATTACAGAAGCCGTTCATCCCCGGAATAGGGTGAGGCAAACACGGACTATTTTCTTAACTCGAACACTTTCCTCTGAGTTTTACATTTCTTTTCCCACAAATTTGTTTTTCGGTAAAGATCTGTTACTGTATGAACACTGGTAATTATACTTTTGAACATTTTTTTTTTCCAGGTCAATTAGATAAAAGGGGATACAGAGCAGGAAGAGGACGGAGTTCAGACTGCCTGAATTCAGGCGGCCTTTTCCTTTGGCTAGTCGGTGCACCGCTCCCAGCGGCAAGAACAGGGTGTGGAGAGAATTCCCTGAGACAGTGTACCGAAGAGACAGTGTACCTCATCTCCAACATGGAAAAGTTAGCCCCTGAACCTAGAGCCACAAGAAATGGGTGTTTTTAGACAGAAAAAGAGACACAGATGTTTAGAACAGACTTTTTGACTCTATGGGAGAAGGCGAGGGTGGGATGATCTGAGAGAATAGCATCGAAACATGTATATTATCAAGTGTGAAACAGATCGCCAGCCCAGGTTGGATGCATGAGACAAGTGCTCGGGGCTGGTGCACTGGAATGACCCAGAGGGATGGGGTGGGGAGGGAGGTGGAAGGGGGGTTCAGGATGGAGAACACATGTAAATCCATGGCTGATTCATGTCAATGTAAGGCAAAAACCACTACAATATTGTAAAGTAATTAGCCTCCAACTTAAAAAAAAAAAAAAGAATTGCATGGAAAAAGAAAAAAAAAAAAGAAATGGGTGTTTTTGAAGAAGCCAAATTCTGGTCCAGTTTAGCCTCAAGTCTGAGGAAGACACCAAGGAAAGTGAAAGTCACTCACTCAATCGTGTCCAACTCTTTGGGACCCTGTAGACTATACAGTCCATGGAATTCTCCAGGCCAGAATACTGGAGTGGGTAGCCTTTCCCTTCTCCAGGGGATCTTCCCAACCCAGGGATCCAACTCAGGTCTCTGGCATTGCAGGCGGATTCTTTACCAGCTGAGCCACAAGGGAAGCCCACCAAGGGTCTAGCTAGACCTAGACACGTGGCCCACATTAGGGGAGGAGGTTGGAGAGGCCCTAAATATACACTGACAGAGGGTCTCTGTACATATTCTGATGGAGGTTTGGGGATGATCATGAAATACATCCCTGCTGACCTCCTCCCCACTGACTGGTAAAACAGTTCAGAAATAAGATAAAGGAACCACACAGGTGAAGACAAAACCTCAGCTTAATAACTGAGAGGGCTGAATTAGAGAGAGTGACTTGACCTAGGGCCACACATGGCTCCTCACGTGTGCCCCCGACATTCTGGAGTCCCCTTGTCCAGGACGACCCGGCTTGGGGAGAAGCAGAGCAGAGCGGGGAACATCCTAAGGACAGGTGCCCTGGGGCCTGAGCCCGGGCAGGGAAGGTGTGAAGGGTAGCTGGGACAGGAGCACGGTCCCCTCCAGGACTCACTCCAGGGTCAAGGAGAAGTGCAGTTCCCCTAACACCAATACCCGCTCTTTCTCAGCAGTTAATTTAGTGAACACCTTGACTTTGGACAAGATGGCATCCTCAGACCTGCAGTGGTGGATGGTGTTGAGCTGTGGGGAAGAAGCAGACAGCATCAAGAGAGTGGCACTCACACAAGTCTTGGAGGGGAAGACGGAGGGATCCTCCTCTGTCTACGAGACTGGGAGCTTCCTCTCGTGCTGGAGGGCAGACAGGTTAGACGGTTCCCCATTCCTCTAACTCCTCAAAGACGGGCGCAGAGGTTGGAAGAAACCTCACCCATTCTGCAGTACCGCTGTCCCCTCCCTGGGGCACACGAGGAAGATGCCCACAGACCAAGAGAAGTATGCAGGCATGGGGAGGCGGAAACACCAGCTTCTTGGTCTCATCTCAGCTGGGGCTGGGGCTGTGCAGGGCTGGGAGTTGGTCTTTCTCCCTCTGCAGAGAGTCACTGGGGCCTTCCTACTGCCTGGCACTGAGTTTTTACCTGCTTCTCTCCACAAAGCTAGAAAGAGGATAAGCTCTTTATGCTCTTTCAGAGACAGAGGCACAGTGGAAAGAGAATAGAATTTAGAGACCAATGACCTAAATTCAAGCCTCTCCTCTTTGTATCTGGAAAAAAAAAAAGAGAAAAATAATACGTTCAAATATCAAGGTTGAATGAGAATTAAATGAGATAGTGTTCATGAAAACTCCCCATAAACTAGAAATGATCGTGAAATAGTGAATCTTATCACGGCTGAAGCTTTGTTGACTTGCTTTTCTGCTCTGTGCCCACTACCTGGGGATCTGTCCCTGATACGAGAGCTGCCTTCCTATCTAGCTGGGACTCTAGGGAGATGCTGCAGCCCAGTGACCTAGGAATAACTAGACAACTGAAACCCCAGCTGGGGCTTCCTCCTGGAATTACAAAAACCAGTTAGGCATAAGGGGCACACAAGAACTCAGTTCATAGAAATTACATAAAGTGCACACACAGCACGCAGAAAACAGACACATGTATGAACGCAAACACATAAGTGCAATGTGCCTGGCATGTAGCGGAAACAGAAAAAATGCCTGATGGATGGAGAATAACTAGGGAGAGAGATGGGCTAAGAGAAGAACCTTAGATGGGCAAGAGATGCAGTGCATTAAGTTCCAGTCCAGTCCTAACCAGTTGTGTAATCTCATGCAGGTCCCATGCCTCTCAGTTCTGTCTTTCTCATCTGTCAAACAGTGATTATAAGATCTGCCCTGCCTCCCTTTAGAGCTACTGGAAGAATAAAATATTTTTTAGGACATAGAAACCCAGAGTTCAACCATCTGTAATGAACTACTTAGACAATTTTTATGGCTATGTAGAAGCACATAAAAAGTTAAAAGTCTCTGCAAATAGAAAGTACTACTTTTGTTGACATGCAAACACATATGCCATGCAATACTGTATACACAAAGACAATTTAAAGACCTCAGGTACAAAGAATTGGGTTAATTATAATCCTTGATTCATGGCGCATCCTCATCATTGAATCATTGTTCCTTGAATCTCTGCTTTTATTTAATTAGTTATTAGGTTTTTGTCTTTTTGGTTTTGGGGGGTGGGGGGAGGTTGGGGCCTCGTCTTGTAGCTTACAGGACCTTAGTTCCTTGACCAGAAATTGAATCCAGGCCATGGTGGTGAAAGTGTCAAATCCTACCCACTGGACCACCAGGTAATTCCCTAGTTGTTTTTAATAATGCAGTCGGCACCTGTGAATCCACTACCCAAAGTGAAAACTAGGACTTTGACAAAAAGCACGCATCTAACTAGGTGGTTGCTCTATTCACCCCCAACCCAACTCTGTTTTCTCTGGCCAAGATAACCATTATCTTGAATCCAATGTTCGTCATTCTTTGGCTTTCCATTTATGTAGTTTTGCTTCATCCGTTCAGCTCAGCCGTGTCCGACTCCTTGTGACCCCATGGACTGCAGCACCCAGGCCTCCCGGTTCATCACCAACTCCCAGAGCTTGCTCAAACTCATGTCCATCGAGTGGATGATGCCGTGCAGCCATCTCATCCTCTGTCATCCCTTTCTCCTCCCTCCTTCAATCTTTCCCAGCATCAGGGTCTTTTCCAATGAGTCAGCTCTTTGCATCAGGTGACCAGAGTATTGGAGCTTCAGTTTCAGCATCACTCCTTCTGGTGAATATTCAGGACAGGTGTCTGACCTTCAAAAAAGGTGAAGCTCATTGTGTCTTAAAAGGGAGATGGATATGGTGACTTTATCAGAAAGATGAGGTTAAAATAAGGAAACATCTTGTCATAGTTCCAGAGTATTCCCCACCTCCTCATGGTGAGATGGTGATGGTGATGGTGATTAATGAATGCATACTGTATGTCCAAGACTGTGCTCAACCCTCCAGCGTTTCATTCAAATCTCAGGAGGATCTGTGGTAGAGACTGCTGGTTGTCTCTGCCAGTATCCATTTCCCCCTCTTTGATAGTAAAGAATCTTGAATATTTAGTGAAGCACATGACTGCCTGGAATAAAAACTACACTTCCTAGCCTCCATTACAGCTGGTTGTGTTCATGACTTGTAAATGAAAGCTATTAAGGGAAGCAGCAGCCTCCTTTCCTCCTTCTCCTCCTCTTTACTCCTCTTCCTCTTTCCTCCTTCCTGGTGGTTAGAATAAAAATGTAATGGCTAGGCTTCCCTGGTGGCCCAGTGGTTAAGAATTCACCTGCCAGTGCAGGGGACACAGGTTTGATCCCCGGTCCAGGAAGATCCAACATGACTGGAGCAACTAAGCCCATGCATCATAACCGCTGAGCCTGTGTGCTTAGAACTGGGTGCCCTGCAACAGGAGAAGCCCCTGAAACCCCGTGCACCACAACTAGACAAAGCCTGCTGGTCGAGATGAAGACCAAGCACAGCCAAAATTAAATAAATAGTAAATAATTTTCTAAAGTAATTGCTGGAGTTTGAGCAGCTGCCTTGAATCACAAAGTGGAGGCTACAGTTGAGGATGACAGAGTAAAAAGATAGAAGGGGCCTGGCTGGAAGATGGAGTCTGGA